GAATTATACATATAGTATTAATATATTTTGTTGGATGAGTCGACGATGACATGAGCCTGGTTGGGGCTCTATGACGCGACCTCATGCATGTTTACTATTACAATATTATTATTATTATTTTTTATTATTATTATTATTATTATTATTATTATCATTATTATTATTATTGTATGTATGTATTATTATCGTATTATTATGATTTTTTATTTTTATCTATTCATTATTTAAATGCCTCACTCTGCCAGGAGGCGTCGGAACAGTGTTGATGATTTTTTCAAGCTTATCATCGAGATAAGCGACGATAATGAAATGATTTTTTTTCACGCGACGCGTCGTTCGGTACGCGACAAGGCTAGCTGGCGCGTCGCAAGTTCCTCGAGGTCGGACAGGCGACAGCCACGAATATCGAGGATCTTCTGCCGGATCGACACCGATACCAGACTAGAAAAGGATACACGAGAAAACTTGAGAAATTTGAAATTCGCGACGCCCGGATGTTCTGGAAAGCCTGTTCAGTCGGTCCAGAATTTCCGGGCCAGTGATATCTCGCGATTTCCGGACGACGGGATCGGTGTTTGTTGAGACGAAATAGTTGCTCGCGCGATTCGCGAATTCGTTATTATACACCACGAACTCACCCTTGTTTTCTAGTACCGGACGCGGACCACGCTTAGTTGATTTTAATACTTGGATCGTTCGCGAATCGTTGACGCCTCCGTCTCGACGTGTAATGTCGTCGATCGAACGGCGATAAAGTGATTAAGAACAGGATGGGTCCACCGACAGAAACCAAATTGCATTTATCAATGACGATCACGTGAGCGCTCGCCGAAGAAGACGAACGACATTGAAGTTCATTGTTTACGAAAAGACTTGCAAACGCGTAGAATTGTAATTATTATGATAAAGAACGGGGAGTAATTGTTAGTCTAATATTGTTTGCGCTGTGAAATAATGTTTAGTGTTGTAGAGGCTTTGAACTTCGAGAATCGTGATCGTGCGCGTGGCCCATCGCGCCGATCAAACGGAACAAAGGAGAATTGAAATCGAGGATCCTCGGCAATTCGTCGCCGCCATTCTGTCGTCGACGTTCGACCCCGAGGTTCTTGCTAGTGTACTACTTACCCTCTCTCCACTATTTCCCATTACTACTACTCTACTACTCTTTGTTTCTTTACCAACACTTTGACGCTCTGCATGCGCTCGATCGTTAGTCAAATCAACTTTCTTCGGCTGAACCGTGCGTCGTGTCGATCTCCTGTTCGCTTATTCACCCGGAACCACGAGATTCTCAAGCGGGCGTTTTTCTTGTTGCTCGCCGGAAACGACTGACCGTTGCGGACAATATAGCTGACCAGTTAATAGACTCGTCCTCTTCGCAACGTTTTCAGCGAGGAATCGGAGGAAACGCGCCGTTTTCCGCCGTGCGTTCGGCAAAGCTCGAAGCGAGCACGTTTTGCGAGGAAGCGGATCGCCGCGCGTGTTTGCAGTATTCTAGCCAGTTTTCAAGCGGCGACCCTGCTACCCGGGTGAATAAGGACGACCCCGAATGTACTCCTCTCATTTTTCGCGGGAAAAGAGTGCCCAAGAAAACGGAAGAGGAAAGAAGGAACCGCAGATCAATCGAACGCGTTCGAGAGTATCTCTGATACTGTTTAGTTCCTTTAGAAAAAGAAGTTTTCCCTTCGGTCGGATGTCCAATTAAGTTGCAGAACATGGATGCTACGCGTTGCTTTTCGCGCGTCGAACGTAAAAGAAGCCGGCTTCCCTTTTGCAGCCGCGACAGATTCGAACCCGTTCGGTTTTGTATTCCATTATTCCTTGAGATCGCATCACACGTCGTCGTGTCTGTCCATTAGTATTTAAATCGCGTATGCCTGTGTTGATTCTGTAGGTTATTATGAATTATTACTCGTATATATAATTATATCATTACTATTAACTATTAGTTATCGTATTAATATGATTACATTTAACACGGATACCACCAAGACGAAACACAGTCGAAAATATCATGGGTGAAGCGACGCATCGCGACGCCCACCTTGCCAGCTAGCCGCCACTACCACGTATCTGATACTTCATTTTCCTTATTTTCTCTAATGTTTTTTTTCTTTAACTTTTTCCACATGTCGCACTCGCGGGCCTTCCGCACGCGTGGCGACACACGAACAAACATAAGGAACGGAAAAGATCGATATATAGTTAAAAAGCTGCGCTATTCTCTTTTTTGATACGCATTAGTCCCAAAGTAAGAAACGATGTGTACATTTGTGTGCGTGTGTGTGTCATTGTGCGTTCACTGTATGCGCGCAAACAAACAAGCAAGCAAGCACAAGAATGAAACGACATTGCGACTCTCTCTCCTTTTTTTTTGTACTGGTTTGTTATGTTATTATTTTTAGACGATACACAACCCGATTGTTCTTAATTTAAATGTAAATCGTATTTTGTTTGTTTTTTAGTTATTTTTTGTTGTAAAATGCTTTTTAATAATATTTTCAGTTCACATTACACGACATCGGTTGGTTTTGGTCTCACTTTATTATTTTTCTTTTACTTCACGTACACTCTGGTACACAACACCCACGCCACCCCCCTTTATTTCGCTCCCAAGTGTCCTCAAACGAGCCACCCACCTCTTTTCCGTTCGTTTTGGATTTCGTTTCACGCCGAGGAAAATTCGAGGACCTCTCGGAACGCTGTTTTCCAAGCGATGCGAATATTCTTCGAACTTCAAGTACAAATGAATGCGTTCGCCATTTTTCTGCGACTATTGCGGCATATTATTGTCTGTCACTCGGACACGTGTCGGACACAATGAAAATGCAAATCATTGTCGAAGCGAGTAGTCGTTCAGTTTTCCCCGGTAGTTCTTTCAAGTAATTGCGACGTCAACCAGCTGCGATAACACGCGCAAAGAGTGCTCGACTTAACGCGTTCACTTCTAGTCAGGTACTTGTACAGATCTTCAATCCCTGTTGTTAACGCATCGCGAATTATACGAATCAACGTTTGTCGTAAGATCTTTATTCTTTTTGAACTGTCTCGAATCGAATGTTTCCTAATGAAGTTTGTTTCTTAGTAAATTCCATTCGAAACATGGTGGTCGCTCGAGTTTTACGACAATTATCATATTTTTCGATCATAAGTAGCAATACATATTTAATTTTCTTTTTCTGTTTGCAATTTGTTGACATTTGTACACTTTTCCATCCAGGTCGAACACGATCGTCAAACATTCCTCGATCTCAAACATTCCAATTCAACGTTAGATATTGCTGCGTTCTTTTTGTTTTATTATTATATTTTTTTTTTGGTGTGCAAAACTATTGGACTGTAATGTATTTTAATTTTACATTCTAGCGATCATGCATTCATTCTTTTCACTCGAACTTTGCGTAAATGATTAATACACTTTTCATTGGATATAATGCATTTACAATAAAAACAAGCGCATGAAATGCAACTAGGTGAAAACTCGAATGACAGATCGTATATTATACACATTGCAGTGCACGAATAATTTGCATTCTCTAATTTCACGCTGTATAATTCTTCCGTATTTCGTTGTTAAGAGTGTGTCTATTATTCTTGCTCGTACCCAGAAATTGTAGAATGTTGTTTTTGCTCGATACTTTTGCACGCCACTTGAGCTTGGTAATTAATAACAGCTAGACTGCGGATGCTTATGCAATCTATTTATGTAATATAGAACTATAAAAATATAACAGACATTTGTTTCGACGATATCCAAATCGCGACTACAATAGAGGATAATTAAAATCTTGACATACACACATTCCATCACAGTTTTCAAACAAAAAACATTCTTATTCACTGTTTTCATTTGTTACTTGATTGCGTTTTGTGCATGCAGTTTGTCGCAAAAGCTTAAGAATCCGTAGTCTAGCAAATAGCATACGTAAGCCTGCTTTTTGAAGTGCGCCTTTCAAGTTGCAGTAAAACCTCGGTTGTT